CTGAGCTAACTACTGCCAATCCTCCTCTTTTTGCTGAGGAAGACTGGCCCTGAGCTAACATCCATGCCCATCTTCCTCTACTTTATACGTGGGACGCCTACCACAGCATGGCTTTTTGCCAAGCGGTGCCATGTCCGCACCAGGGATCCGAACTGACGAACCCCGGGCTGCCGAGAATCGGAATGTGCGAACTTAGCTGCACCACTGGGCCAGCCCCTATAAGATTTTTTTCTGAATGAAAATTTACTTTCAAATTGAATAAATAAACTTTGTTTCTATTTATTTATTTGCAATGCATTGGAGATGGTAGTTAAGGATGATTATAACGTATGCAAACAAGACTAATGTAAATTCCAGGCCTAGTAGAAGACTTTTTCCAACATAGGCCTTAGCAGGTCTCTCCCAGCTGTGATGTCAGCCTACTAGCTTGAGTCGAGTTTTGGTTTCATAGACCTGTAGGTGGAAGTAAGCAATCTTTCCTAGAGACAGTCTGAAATCAAAAGGGTGTGAGATCAAAGAGACCAAGTCTAAAGGGGAATTTGACACTGATGGGTGGATATTCACATGTCACCTTTATGAGTCAGAGAGTATTTGGTGTGTAATTGGGTCAGAGCGATTTAAAGGAAAAGGGACAAATTCAACCAAAGTGGCCAAAGTGGATTATACCAAGAAGCCAAGTTTTCAAAACAGAGATTTTCTAATGGATAGGTGGATAAGAGTCAATGAAGGATTTCACTTCGTTGGAGGAGGGACAAGAATTAAGTATGCCTCTGGCCTCCCTAAGAAACTTGAAGTGAGATTTGTTTCTAGAAGAAAGGCTTAAACAAAGGACAAAGTAGAGTATAGTCTTAAGAGGTCTGCCAAGGCCAGATCATACTGGACTGTATTGAAGTTTTGGTCTTTATCCTAAGGAAAATGGAAAGTCTGAGAGGTTTTATGAATGAGGGTAACATAATCAGATATGATTTTAGAAATTATCACTTTGCCAGTAGTACATGGAATGGATGGGAAGGTTCCAGAAAGGTTGTGCAGAGCCAGTTGAGAGGCCACTGAAGTAGTTTTGGTCACATTTAACGGCAAGATGAATGAGGATGCCAGCTGTGGAGACCATGAGAAACTGACAGATTCAGAAGAAATAGAATGTTTGATGTATTATACTTTGCAATAGATTAAATATGGGATGGAAGGGAGAGTAAGGTATCAAAGATGATAGATGGTGATACTATTCACAGACCTGAGGAACACTGTAGGCAGACGGTTGTGTAGCTATAGAGCTCAGAAGAAATGCTTGAATTAGAGATATGTATATCAGTCATTGATATGTAGATTGAAATTGAGTATGGATAAGATTTCTAGTGAGAGAGAAAAAATATAGTGGGATAGAAGATTATTGACAATGAACTGGGCCTTGAGGAACTCCAATATGTAATGAGAGGGTGGAGGAGGATAAGCCTGCAAAGAAAATCTTACTAGTGATCAAAGAAGACAAACTAGAATAGAGTAGCATTATGGAAGCAAAAGAAGGAGAATTTCAAAAAACAAAAGAGAGTTTGGTCAACAGTGTTAAGAGTTATGTGTTAAGCAAGAAAGTGAAATTGCAAGCAAGAAGTGTCTCCATTAGCTTTAGTGACATGATTCTTTTATTAAGCAGTGTTTTTATTGAGAAACAACATTGAGTGGATTAAAGAGTGAATAGGAGGTGGGGAACTGACGGTAGACTAGATAACTGTGTCAAAACATTTGCCTTTGTAGAAGATAGAGAATGGCCCAAGTGGAATATGGGGGTCAAGAAAGAGTTGATTTAAAAGGCATAGGAGTCAATAAAATGTTTAAATTTCCATATGAAGAATTCACTTGAGAGGGAGGGAATGAATTTACAGTAGATAAATAACATAAAAGGGATAGACTCAGATGCTTGAGAAGAAATATGAGAATGCAGTACAAAAGCCAAGGAGAGGGATTGACTTTAGGTAAAAGAAGGGAAACTCACTTAAATGTAAGATAAGGGAATGAGAAGGGCACATGCAGGTAAGACTCAATATTTGGACATAGGAAGTGGAAGAAATTCTAGTCTGATAATGCACTTTTCTCTGTAAAGTAGAAAATGACATTGATAGCTGCAGAAAGAGGATGGGTCAGAGCTTTGGAAGAAGTTTAAAATAGTTCCTGTGGTGAGTCAGAGCTCAAGTGGAAAAAACTAATATGGCAGGATGCCAAGTTCATTTGAGGCTGTTGCTCATTGCCTTAGTTTGGGTTCTCTCAAGAGTAGAAATGGAGACAAAGATTTAGGTGCAGGTAATGTTTTTAGGAAGTGATCCCAGGAAACAAAGTGGGGAAGTGAGGTTAGGAAAAGAAGGCAGCCAATGAAGGATGATATATGAGCAGGTTATTGCTAGAGGCAACTGGGGCTCAATCCTTCTGGGAACCCTCTGAAGCACTGTGTGTAACAGGCCCCACGATGGTTGCACTGAAGGGCAAGGGAGTTGGGACATTTATCCAACAACTACCAGCTCTCCTGAGGTATTAACATCTCAGCACTCACTACTGGCCTGCCCCATGCACTGGTAAGTGAATGCCCGCAGGAGGAGAGACACGGGGTTTTTATATTGTACTGAAGGAAAAACAAAAATGCTTTTCTCAAGACGTTCTGATGGAAAACATGCACTGGGTTTGGCAGCTGGCTAAATGACCATAGTCAAACACTTGATTTAATGAGTTAACGTCAGTGAGAGAGAGGGAAAGAGATTTTTAAAAGCATGCCAAAGACTCTATTTTAAAATCAACATTTTGAATAAAGACATAGGAAAGCCAATAATTAAACTTATGGGAAAAAATGTAGGAAAAATAACAATTGCCATGTCTGATAAAATAAAAATCCATAAATATTTACAGTCCATATGCAAATGAAAGTATTGACATTCAGTGACCTGAGATTTGGAGTCAAAAATCTCTCAGTTCAGACCTGTTTCTTCAATTTCTAGTTGGGTAGCATTTATTTAGTAAATATTTATTACTATGAACCACGCCCTCTTTGAGGTGAAGGATATAATGGCAAACAGGATGAATTAAATTCCTTCCCTATGGTACTAACAGTCTGAGATCAATTAACTTAATTTCCCCAAGCCTCTATCTCCTTATATGAGCAGAGAGATAGATAATACCTTACCACAGGCTTTTGTAAGGACACAAAAAAGAGGATACATTTTTGAAAGTTTTGTGTTCTTTAAAGCTATTAGTTTAATTTTAAAGGAATAGCCTGCGACTAACATGAAAAATTTTAACAGGTTTATATGATTTAAAGCCCTGAAATTTGAGTTTAGGAAATCAGTTCCTAAGTTTGTGATACTGGAGAACTGGCTTAATGGTAGTTTATGTGAAATTTCCTAGAAGTTTTAGCTCCGGTTAACTTCAATGTGAGTTGAAAGTCTAATATGGAAGTCAAAACATTGATTGAACTCATAAGCTGTATCAGTGAAAGTATCATCAAACAAGAGAATAATTGTCTATTCTTTCTTGATTATACTAAACACTACTGATATGATCCTTTAGGAGCCAAAGTTTAAGGAAAGATACTGACAAGCCATGGAATATCCATTGAAGTAACTAGGAGTAGGGTAGGCTACCATAAGATATCTTCTAGCGGATCTAAAGAGCTGATTTCAACTATTTGAGGGTTGTATTAGAAAAAGAAGATATGGCATGGTGATTAAAGTATGTTACTTAGTGTCTTAAATTCAGTATTTGTACTTTTGTTCTGCTCTAAAAACTTCCTATGAAAATTGAGTCAGTCACTGATCTTTCTGGGAACTTTCATTTGTTTGTTTGCCTGTTTTGTTTAATAAACTATTGGATTAGATGATCTCTCAACTCCTTCTTCATAGATTCTTTACAAATGCTGATAAAATCTAGAGGTTTTTTCCCAAGAACAATGCACACACATTCAGAATTTTGCCTAAAATTTCAGATGATTCATAGGACATCCTCCACCCATGCAACGCATCCAGGAGGCCCCTAAAATACCTGTTTTAACTACACCTGAATCACCTGGTCAAGCTGAACAGCTAATTCTCATTAGCTCCCTAGGTCTCTGCAATAAAAGAATGTTTGAGAATAACAGGGTAGATGATTAGATAGCTATTGCAGCATAACAACCCATCCCCAAATTTAGTGGCTTAAAACAGCAGCTATTTATCATTTCTCACAATTCTGCAGTGTGGGCAGGGCTCTTTGGATAGTTCTGTGGCTCTAAGTGGTGTCAGCTGGAGCACTCATTTGGTTGTATTCAGCTGGTGTTTGAGATGGGTCACAAGGTCAAAGAAGAATTTATTCACGTGCCTGCTGCCTCATCCTCTTCCACGTGGTCTCTCCACCTGGCTAGATCAAGCTTCCTTAAAGGGTCACTGGAATTCTTATGTAACAGTTGCAATCTCAGAATTCTTATATAACAGTTGCAATCTCAGAATGTGTATTTTAAAAGGACAAGATTCAACGTGCAAGAAATTATCAAGCCCCTGCTTGCATTAAACTTAACATCCCGTTTGACATAGCAACGCACGTGGCCAAATCCAGAGTCAATGTGGCTGGAGACTACACAAGGGCATGAATACCAGAGGTATGGTTCAATGGGAGCCACCAACAGGAGTTTTTTGCTTGTTGTAAATACTTTCCAGAAAGAAAGAAGGTTATCTTGGGAGGTAGTAATTTTCAACCCGTGCAAACATTCCAGCAGAGGCTAAGTAATAGCTTATAGGAGATACGGTAGAGGTGATTGCTGCGTTGAGATGAATAAAATGACCTCTATGATCATAAGACTAGATCAAAGCTGCCTCCAAATTTTGAGCCTACCTGACTAGGGAGATAGTGGTGCTATTAAGGGTAATAGGGGCATCAGGTAAGAGTTGCAAATTAGGAGGAGAATGACAAATGTGGATAGATTGCTTTTTTCATATAGAAGAAAGAGATAATCAAGAAATAACGACCCTTATTCTTTCCTGTCTCAGGTTGGATGTCGATATAACTGAACTTCACAGTTGGATTACTCGTTCAGAAGCTGTGTTGCAGAGTCCTGAATTTGCAATCTATCGGAAGGAAGGCAACTTCTCAGACCTTAAAGAAAAAGTCAATGTAGGTTATACATTAATTTTTATATATTTTCCTAAGTTTTGCTGCTTGTAGACTGTTTTGTACTGTTTGTTTGAGTTGAAAAGATTAAGGCAATATGATATAATGCTTTTAAATATATCTTTAAAATATATTTTAGCTATCAAGCAGTATCAAAGTTTAGCCTAGAAAAATCTTTCTTGGTTCTGCAGTGACTGACCAGGAATGGTTTTCATAAACCTTCTTCAACTTTTATATTATTTAGCTGTAAATTGACAATTTTATAACATGAACTCATATTGGTTTCTTTTCATATATTGTTCTGTCACCTCAAGGCTGGGACTTAGAAAGCTTGCAGAGTAGAATAGAATAGATCCTTAGTAATACTGTACTTAGAACCCTGTATATACTCTCGCTATCATCAGAAAGTTATTCTTTATAGTCATTAATGCTTGTGATAAATTATAACAGGTTTGCATTTTACAGATATTTATGTATTATATTACCATAGCTAAGGATGTCCAGCCTTTTTCAATATTTATAAGACATGGTTCACTGTTTTTATTCCCTACTGAGGCATTATAGTTTTATCCTTCTCAATAGGGGTTTTTATTAATTTAATAAGAGCTGCTTCATCTTCAGTGACATTGTCAGGGCATTGATTTTTCAACCTCAACAATTATGAAACAACTGTTTTTGGTATATAATTGGCAATAGTTTGTGAGAGAATTTCTAACAGAGTACTTTGTAGAGAACAGGCTAAAGAAACAAACATAAATATTAGATAATTTTAGCATAGGAAGGTCACGTGTGTGGATTAACGCTGCTTTATCTTTTGAGCATTCAATTTCATTCAACTCAACAAAATCTGTTAGATTTTTACAAATACAACACTGCCTTGGATACAAACTAATGCTTGCTGTGGGGCTGGAACTTTTGAAAAACAAAAAAAAGACCTAGGAGAAAAGGATCTATTTTTTAGGCTGCTTGAACAGGAGAGAGAATTTCATCAACATTTCTCAGAGTTAACTATAAATTGGAAATTTATTTTAAATTTATCATTAGCTTTATACAATATTCTGTCATCAGCCTAATAATAGACTATTATAAATAGTTTCAAGAAATGGAAGAAACTATGATAATATTGGTAATGTTTTCATTTTAAAATTTAAACTGAAGAATAATATATAACAGTAAAAAATTGGCAAAATGTCTTATTTCAAAGTACAAGTATTTGAAGGTATATTCTTTATTATTTTTGAGGGAAATTCTGAGTAGAAAATTACTTGGAGAAGATGAACTCTAAATACACTTCGAAGTTCAAGTTCATCTGACATATTTGACCACTGAAAGTGTGGAACAACTTGGGCAGACATTTTATTAGCTAATTAAAGAAATTTTTTAGTCTATCTGAATAATCTACTTATCTGTATGTCATCCTATTTATGTATCTTAAAACAGCTTTGATCAAGCAGGAAAATTGAGTTCCAGCATTTCAGGAATATAAATTCAAAAATTTCCTGTTATCGTATGGTTACCTAGAAGCAATTTACATTTAATCAATAGTGTCAGCAGTGACAGACTGAAAGTACTTAAAAAAATGTGCAATATCGTATGAGTGCTTTTCTGATGCCTCGTGAGTCACCTTTATCAACTTCTACTCTCATTTTCTGAAATAACAACATCATTCTTAAGTGCCTACTAAAATAGGAAATGAAATGATTTACCTAGACATTTCCTTCAGCCTAAATATAATGTATATGTATTTAAAAATCCTTGAGAGGAATACATAGTAATGATGATAGATATGCAGTTTAGGCATACATTAATTTTCTTACTTCTTTATCTGTCAGTTTATGTTGGTTATTTGGAACACGTGGGAGGCCTGTCTCATGAACTTGAGTGGTATTAATTCATTTGTAGGCATCCGTTAAAAATGGCTACATGTTACCCTTTTTTTTCTTTCACATGATTCCTTCCTTCATTACTTTCAACTGCTTTCAGCCAATTAGTATATTCTAGGACCTTATCAGTTCAGTTTTATATACTGTTAAACCTAACATAATATTTCCTTCTCTATTAACCATGTGTTTTATACATACAATTAACATAATACACTTAAAAGTTGAATTCTAGGCAACAGTTCTACTGTAATTGTGGTTCCCGGACAACCAGTATTGGCATCATCTGTGAGCTTGTTAGAAATGTAGGATTTCAGACCTAATGAATCAGAATTTGCATTTAAACAAGACTCACAGGTGATTTGTTATGTATATAAAGGTTTGAAAATCAATACTCTAAGACACAATCTGGGACTTTATCAGACTCCTAGGTGTTCCTTCTTTCATTCTGTTGTCACCACAGTTAAGAATTTCAAGCTGAGTAACAGGTCTAGCCATTCAACTTCTGGAATTGAACACATGGTAATGTAAGTTAGTAATTAAAGCAACAAAACCACCTCGTCTGATCACAAGGTCATAGGATAAGATGTCTGAGAATCCGGGACCTGTACACTGTTCTCGTGAAAGCCTTCCTACCAGCTGCTAAGGTCAACAGGCCTTGGGCTCTTTCTGGGACCTATGCTTACTTATACCCATACCAAATCAACTTTTAACCAAGTTTTGTTGGCAATCTTCAAGCTAATTAATTCTACATTTCTCTTATCTCTATTATCTTTGTTTACCACCCAGAACATAGGTACCTCTATTCATCTATCCTTTTTTCTGTCTTCATCTTTATGCTCCTCTGCACTCTCTTTCCTCTGCCTCACTTTCTCTTCCTTGTGCCTTCCGACACTCTCTCACTCTGCACTCTTAAACGCTTCTTCCAAGGCAGACTCTTTGTCCTATATACTCATCCTATTTGTACATGGAAAGCACTTTTACCCTCAAGAACACCAAGACTGTGACTCTTTCACACCTGCACTCACTTAGAATTGCTAATTTCCTTACTTCTCAGGGCCAATTCCAAAGGCACTGCTCTCCATGTAAACATATCTCTTCTCTTGTGTTTCATGCCACGTGGCCATCTATCATTCACCATTTTGTTATTTTCTCATTGAAGACTTTGGCACGAGATTCACAGTCTTCTCTACCCAAGTTATGCCTTCATCCTTAATAACCTCAGCTCATGTAGGCTATCCTGCTATCTCCAAAAGCGTATATTTCCCTAATGTCCTTAATTCAGCTACCCACTTGCATAACTATACTGTAGATGTTTCATTGCCAGACATTACTCCATTTCTGAAATACCATGCTTGAACAGATTCCTCAGTATTTCTTCATAAACTTTCCATGCATCCCTAGTAAATTTTCTCCTCAGTTTCTCTCAGCAGTTATTTCAGGTTTTTATGGGTCTCCTAACCTTTTCCCCACCATTATGGTGGTTGATTTTTCCTCTTACTTTAATTAAAATAATATCTACAAATGTATTTGTGCTCATAGTCTAATATCTACAAATGTATTTGTGCTCATAGTCTCTTTCCCTCTGCCTTGGTGGAGGAGACTATGCTTTAACTAGTTAAGGCTAATGTCTGTGTGTGTGTTCTCACTATCTTCACTGTCTATGTCCCAAGGAACCTGATTCCATTCAGCCACACAACTATATTTTCAATCTCTCCCTATTTTCTGGATCTTCAGCATTAGCCTTTAAACAGACTGTTTTTCCATCTTTGAGAAAACCTTTCTTTCCTATAAACACACACATGAATATTTTTGTGCCTTATTTTACTCAACTTCTCTGCAGGACTAGACCCTGTTAACCTCTTTATCCTTCATGAAATTCTTTCCTCCTTTGGCTTATGGGGTACCACTATCTACTAGTTACCTTTTTTACACTTTTGGTCATTTGTTCTGTCTCATTTTTCCTTTAATATTGATATATTCCACAGTTCTTCTGTCTCTCCATTATCCTCATTCCTTCCCATTCAAACAGCATCTATTTTCTAATGACCCCCAAATATGTGTCTTTAGCTCCAGTCTCTCTCTTAAAGCCTAGACCAATATATCTACAGTCATGCGCTGCATAATGATGTTTCAGTCAGCAATGGACCTCATATACAATGGTGGTCCCCTAAGATTAGTACCATATAGCCTAGGCATGTAGTAGGCTATACCATCTAGGTTTGTGTAAGTACACTCTGATGTTCACACAGTGACAAAATTGCTCATTATCTCCCCAGACTTACTTTATTCTGCCTCTTTCCTTTCCCTCTTCCAACAGCCTAATTCAGAAACCTAAAAGCTAACTGGGTCATCTAGATTTTTCTCTACCATTCTCAAGTCCAGCCTTTGACAAGTACAATTAATCTCATTCCTTCAACAGCCCTTGAAACTGTCCAATTCTCTCTATTCCCGTCACCACAACCCTGATTAAAGCTAATATCATGGCTTACTTCTGTTTAAGATAACAACCCCTAGCTGATCTTCCCTGCTACTAATGTTGTATTCCTTTAGAAGTTTTCACGTCACTTCTGCTAATGTGAACTTATTAAAACGTAAGTATTATCCAGTTAGGCCTCTGTTTATATTCATTCGAGAAAGAAAAAAATAGTCACTGATAGCCAGGAGCTGACTTCGCACTTCAGTTAGACGTTGGAGTTGCTACATGCTGTACTAGTGTTCTCAGCTAGCCTGTGATGTTCTCCTGTTGTTTATGAACAATAGCTCAGAATGCCAGCATCAGACAAGAACACGTCATGATCATGATGGATCAAGACAAAAACATGACCACTTTGTAATCGTGTCTCAATACAGGTAAAAATAATATTGTCCAAGCCACCCAAAATGACCACACATCCCCCATATTCACTAATATGACAGATTATGCTTGTTTACTAATCATAGCTTTAGACCCTCTGTATTCTTCATGCCATCTAAATAAAAAATTTTAAGATACTCGATCATAGAATTACCCCCACTTCCTTAGGCCATCCAATTAAAGGACAGCCCTACTTCCTTGACCCGCCCCCCCCCATCACCTTACACTAGCCCAAATCCTATAAACTCTTTCTCACATCCTCTTAA